AAAAAAAAAAAAAAAAAAAAAAAAAAAAGAGAAACGAACAGATAATTAATCGAATCTATCCCTAGATCGCTTCCTGTATCATTGCCGCGTCTTTCCATATATCGGTAGGATTAGCCATGGCATATTCGGCTATACTGATTCCTCACCTCGAGGATCAAGACGCGGAATTGCACGCCACTCAAGAGCAGACTTCCTGGATCGGTAAACAACTTCTTACGAATAGAATTATTCGATTAGCGCGATATGTGAAAATTTACAAAGTAATGGAATCTTGCGAAGGAAAAAAAAATATATAATACGAATATAATCGATTTTCAGCTAGCGTGGTGGTAGTTTGCACACCTTTGGGCGCCGTGTTAGGTGGATTTTTAATGGAGACAGTGGGAAGGTTGCGGACCCTTCAATACGGAGCCATACCTTTCGTTGCAAGCTGGATCCTTATAGCACTTTCTACCAATATCCCGATGGTTTTAGTCGGTCGATTGTTAGCAGGGTTAGCCACGGCTATGGCTACGTCACCAGCGATCGTTTATATCACCGAGGTCGCGCGTCCGGAACTCAGAGGCTCGATGATATCTTTCGGTCCAACTTTGGCCTCGTTCGGCATGGTGCTTTCGTACTTAAAAGGTGCATACATTGACTGGAGAATTGTGGCCTGGCTAAGCATCGTTTACGCGGTTGTGCCGGTTATTTTGGTGCAATTTTTCGTCCCGGAATCGCCTGTATGGCTCGTTTCAAAAGGACGGCTAGATGATGCGAAGAAATCTTTGGAATGGTAAGGGAAAACGAGCAGAAACGTTTTAAATAAATAAGCTGTGACAAGGTATAAGGATGAAAATTTTTGCGACATGTATCAAATTTATTTCGTTGAAAATGTATTGACACGTGTATAGGGGGAAAAAATTACTCTAAATGACGTTTTATTTTAATTGTAGGTTGTACAAGCGCGAGGAAAAGCAAGGAAAAGTGTCTGCCGCGGAAGCACAATTTATCACAATTTTAAAAGAAAACGAGATTAAATTAAGCGAGCAAAGAAAAAGCAAACATGGCGGTATCTCTACTAAGTTGAGAGGATTTTTGAAACCAACAGGATGGAAACCAATGATGATACTTTTCCTATTCTTCTCCTTTCAACAGTTTTCTGGCATCTATATTACTCTTTTCTACGCTGTTACATGGTTCCAAGTAAATATCAATTGTCCTCGATTTTCTATCCAAGTATTGTAAATCATTGATTATACGTTTGATAATTACCATAATTACTGTCATTCAGGAAGTTGGTTCCGGTGTGGATGCATATGTAGCCTCGATTCTAGTCGGTGTAACTCGTTTTCTATGTTCGATGGTGAATACCTGGTTACTAAGACGATATAAGAGACGGCTTCTATGTATAATTTCATCCTTGGGAATGACTCTTTGTATGGGTGTTTCTGGTTACTTCACTTACCTTATTAAGAATGGCGATCGTTCCGGAAATTGGGTATAGAAATTAAATTATTATATCATTAAATGCAGAGAATTAAATAAAAAAATTATTTTCATGTTGTCCATCCGTTTTTAGGTTCCTGTTTTATGCCTGTTACTCTACGTTTGCACGTCTATGGTCGGTATGTTGACTATTCCATGGACTATGACGGCCGAATTGTTCCCAACCGAAATCCGAGGCATCGCCCATTCCATTAGTTATTCTATAGCCAATTTACTCATGTTTTCTGCTCTGCAGAGTTACAGAAGTTTACAAGATTTTCTGGGTGGTATGTGTACAATACTTTACGAATGCCACGTGTATTTCCTTCAATCGATTTTTATACATTTTTGTACAATCGCAGGTTCTCATACTGTGCAATGGTTTTTTGCTGGCGTTTCGTTAGCAGCCGTCGTTTTCGTATGGTTGTTACTTCCAGAGACTCATGGTAAAAAACTGTCCGAGATCGAGGAGTATTTCCAAAATCATTTCCTAGCTGTTGGAGCTGAAGCGAAAACAAGGAAACGAAGAAGACAAAGAAGAGCGCAGCGAAACGCCAAATCGTCCGCTACGCAACCATTGAATCCTAAAACTATACAAAACGTGTAAATTTTTCTTCCATGAGGCTGGAATCGTACAAAGAATTCCTAGCCAGAGCGTACGTATAGCGTATACTCTATACATGACACACAAATTATCTTTTAGTTCAAAGTTGTTACCCCTGTAAAAGATAAAATACGCGCCCAAATTTTTATAAATTATATTGATTTACTTTAATATTAATATTAAGATTGTTGGCATTTCGGAAAGTTAAAAGAGGCAGGAAAAGGAATCGAAAGTATGTATGAAAGAGAACGAAAGAAAGGAGAGAGAGAGAGAGAGAGAGAGAGAGAGAGAGAGAAAGAGAGAGAGAGGAATGTTACGATTACGAAACTGTGTAGTTTCATACTTAAATAACTTGCTTTCACTTAAATAATCGCAAGAAAAAAAATACGAACTGAGGAAAAAAATTGAGGATTCTCAATATCGAAGGTAATTC